AGTTTTTTTAAAAAGCCGCAATTCTTGGCAGCAAGAACTCGACAGTTCACACCACAGAGCTGATGCATAACAAAAAGAGAAAAGTGTGAAGTGTGACGTCTGTGTTAGAGCAGCAGCACACAGTCACGAGAGCTCTCCTGACACCCTGGCGTCTGGTTTAATTATGGACACTTTAATTATGTGAGACAGCAGACTAAGAACTAGAGGCGAGTACTTTCAGCGAGAAATTGATCCCTGCCTTCGAAACATTCATAGGCGCTCAATAAAACAAATGGAGTCCAGCGTCTGAAACTCGCCATCCATCAATCGGGCCGCTCGCAGAGGAGATGGAGGACAGGGGAGAGAGGGCAATTGTGTTCAGGCAATGTGACTGTACAGCTGTGTGAGTTTTGTGGAACTGATCAGGAATTTTTTTTTGCGGCTCAGATGGAGCATGTCCCGCCCTATGACGTGGTCCCCTCCATGAGACCCATCATCCTCGTCGGGCCGTCACTCAAAGGATATGAAGTAAGGAGGGGGAAAAATGCTTGTTTTACATTTAATTTAACTCCCGTGGTATGTTGTCTTACGCCTGATGTTTCCGTCTACAGGTGACAGACATGATGCAGAAAGCACTCTTTGACTTTCTGAAACACAAGTTTGAGGGCAGGTAAGTGTGGGAGCATCTGCCGTCATACGGGCTCTGCTTTGAGTGGTTTCTGTTTACAACCTGGTAACAACTGGTGCTCCGGATCTCCGTTTCAGGATATCCATCACACGGGTGACAGCCGACATCTCCCTGGCCAAACGTTCGGTCCTCAACAACCCCAGCAAACACACCATCATTGAGCGCTCCAGTACCCGCTCCAGCCTGGGTAAGGCCGCATACAGCCACTTCAGATCCACACAAACCAGAACACCGTGCTGAGAAACGGCCGTTTACTGTACAGTTAAGACAACAATTAGAATATCATTTTGTTATTTAACGGATGATAAAGTAAACGGAGACAGTGGAGATCAACAAGTGGAAAACATTTCTGTTCACCATGTCATGTGGCTAAACATCCATTTAAATACCTTTCACTATCTGTGTTTCATATCTTTGAGTGTTTCTTTTTTATTTAGATAGATAGATAGATAGATAGACTAAGATAGATAGATAGATAGATGGGGACTATTTTGAACTGTGGATTAATACATTTGTTGCTTTAGTGAGTATTTGCAGCAGCAGGATGGTGTACGTGGGACTGACTCAAAATAAACTACAGTGGTTCATTGTGTCAAGGGAACAGCGCGGCTCTCTGATGTGTTTCACTGTTCACTGAACAGTTATTGGACAACAATGGAGTTCGGTGGCACAGAGGAATCAGACACCAGCTCTATTCTTTATCGTCCTTTTAGAGGCAACTTGGTTTGCAATTTACTTGAAATTGTTTCACACGTACAAATATTTACACATTAAAACTGCAGGAAAATGACTTTTCCTGGTGATGCAGGAGTTAAGACACTGAAAAAAACTTTTTTTTAAAAAGCACATGAATATTTTATAAACAGGTCATGTAGGTGCATGATCCAGAGATCTGAAAGTGTCAAGTTTTTCCCTTTTTATACCTGCTCTGACTACCTGAGTCTGATCTGGCCTCCTCTCTCTTTCTTCATCCTGTCTTTTCTGCCCTTCGCCCACCCATCCTCCCCCCTTGCCCTCCCCCCTATCTTCTCTCCCACCTCCCATCTTCTTGCACCACTGTCTTTTGATTCAGACGTACTGGGTACGTATGCTCTCCTCGCAACAAGACAATGAAGCCTCTCTCCTTCCTCCCTCCCCTTTCCTTCTCACTATATTCATCATCTGCTCATACATCGTTTGTCTGCCTGTCTGCTTGCCTGTCAGTTTCTCTGTTCCTCATAACTTCTGTGTGACAGCCTGTAGTCTGTAACAAAAAGAAAAGAATTACAAAACCAAAGCGGGAAGAGATCCGTGGGAGGGCAGCAGGGCGGCTGGTACCCGCTGTAGACTATGAGCGGGAATGAGCAGAGAGGGAAGCCGATACTTTCCATACTGCTCTCGCCCTTTTGTGACCTTCTGTTTTCGTATCCGTGTACTATACAGCGTATGTGTGTACCCAAGAATAGACTGTATAGAAGCTGGATCTCGCCTAATAAACTCTGTCTAGTCATGGCAGGGAGAGCAAGTTTCTCGCCACAGTCAAATCCAAATTTGCAAAAAGTCAAGGTCTTTGTTGAGGTTAATGGAAACCTTGCCTGGGATTTCTTTATATGAGTTAAAGTTCACATTTCTTATCACTCTGCGGAGGCCCTGTTTCATGCCTCCAGCTTTTATTCTCTATCCTTTAGCCCTCTGGAGGCTGTTAAATTGTGCGCCTGCCCCGTCTCTGTGCAGATTGCATTTGCCCTCGTTATCTCTCTCTGCCACTGGGTTGGCAGCACGCACACCTCGGGAGGTGCTGAGGTTTGAACAGACAGGCGAGGAACATTCTGGTTTCCGGTTTTAATCTCTCTCCTTACACGTCAACAGGCTGATAAAATAAAATAAAAAACGAGAAGGAGGAACTGTGCTCGAAATGCTAAATAACAAGATTTATAGGCTGTTGTTGAGGAACAATGGAAACAAAACACCCAAGCAGTCCACAGAGTTGAGTGGTTCACATGATAGATTAATTGCCGCTGTGCCACTTAGTGCTAACAGAAACTAATGTTCCACTTAATTTGTTTGATGAAGGTGTTTTTCTTTTTCTCTTTTGTTTTTTTTTGTTTTATTTACATGGTGAGAAATTGTGCCCTTGTATATTAGTTATAAGTGCAACAGGCATCTCATTCTCAATGCGCCTCCTTCCTTCGCAACTTTGTAATGGAGGAGATCAGAAGGACTTGAGGAAATTGTAAATGTCGGGAGGCTGCAACAGAATGAGGATGCTGCACTGCTCCATTTAGCTGTGCATAAATGGAACTTTACTGTGATCCAGCCTAATTCATATGCTTTTACTTCTTCTAAATCTTCGACATGCATGATTAAGCACTAAAACGCTGGTCACTTTGGTTGTGCGCATAGTAAAGGTAGTATGGCTGATAGACAGCTGGTGTCTCTTCAAAGGTAGATGTAGTTGACATTAATCTTTTTTTTTCTTGCCTCACCCGTATTTACGTGTCTTATCTCTGTTCCTGGGCCTTCAGCGGAGGTGCAGAGCGAGATCGAGCGTATCTTTGAGCTGGCCCGCACCCTCCAGCTGGTCGCTCTGGATGCAGACACCATCAACCACCCCTCTCAGCTGGCGAAGACCTCCCTGGCTCCCATCATTGTCTATATCAAAATAGCTTCACCTAAGGTATGGCAACCTTAAAGAAAACAATTTCAATGTGCTTATATTGTGTTATGTCTTTTTTTTATAGTCGCTTTCATTGTTAGTTGTGAAGTTGGATTCAAACTGCCTACCCACTCTTACAACATTAGTTTGTTTGGCTGCTGTTTTTGGTTATATTTCTCAGAAAGTAGCTCTTCCAGGAGCTTCCCCACAGAAATCTGGGATCTGTAGTATTAAACAACACTCGCAGATACCATCAATAAACATCAGTGTTGTCAAATCAACTAGGCCCGAATGTCAACTTGAAAAGGGCCCCTGTGGAGATTGTTTTGGAAACATTAAGTCTACATGTACAAAGTCAGTTTTGAACTATATTTTTAATCTTGCATTGTTTACATTAAGGATGCACTAACACCATTTTTTACAGACCAAATACATTACAAGTATTTACATTTGGGAAATTGCCAATACCGATACGGAACAAACCTGTTTTATTTTCATCAGATGTTCCTCACCCTTTTTGACCGTAACCACTTAAATGAGCTGAGCTCGGTATCAGACTGGACTGGTGTCGGTGTGTCACTAGTTCACTTCCATGTTTGCTAGCAGTCTTATTCTTCACTGCTTTTCTGGAGCTTTGCTTTGTTTGTTGGTGTGTCATCACCAGCAACTATTGTGTGAAACCAACAGCAGGATGTGAACTGACTCTGACTCTATTGGGTACCATCTTTCCTTTCATCATGATAAAATTACTCAAAAATAGAGAAAACCACACATGCTCGTGCTGACTTCACTGACGGACTGATCTTTGCACAGATTTAAGAGTGTGGATGCTTTTCTAAATCAAGTTACCATGATAGAATTACCAAAGTGCACAAGCACATCCCCATGAATAATTGATGTTTCAGTAAAGTGCTGTTGTCTCCCTGCAGGTCCTCCAGAGGCTCATCAAATCTAGGGGCAAGTCCCAGGCTAAACACCTAAATGTGCAGATGGTGGCAGCAGACAAGTTGGCCCAGTGCCCACCAGTGAGTTTGGCTTTGTGACTGGAGTAATAAAAGAACTGATAGTTCCCAGAATGTCTGTTAAAGGTCCAGTGTGGAGGATGTAGTGGTGGTTTACAATCTTCTACCTGGAGCCGGTGTTTACGGGTTACTTTAGAAACAACATGGCGGCCTCTGTGGAAGAGGACCCGCACACTCTGTTGATAAAAATAGCTAATTCTGAGGTAATAAAAGCACAGTGATTCTTATTTTAAGGTGATTATACACTAATGTAAACATACCTATGAACATTATATTCAATTTCTGTCAATAGATCCTCCTAAATGTTACACACTGGACCTTTAAAACAAGAAAAAATAGGGGGAAGAAAAAAACTAATTGTCATTTTATTTATGTGCAGGAATTGTTTGACATCATCCTGGACGAGAACCAGCTGGAGGACGCCTGCGAGCACCTTGCTGACTACCTGGAGGCGTACTGGAAGGCAACACACCCCCCGAGCAGCAACCCTCCCAACCCTCTGCTCAACCGTACCATGGCCACGGCGGCCCTGGCCTCCTCCCCTGAGCCCGTCTCCAACCTGCAGGTACAGGTGCTCACCTCCCTGCGCAGGAATATGGATCTGTGGCCTGACATGGACGGTGCTGTAGCGAAAGAGGAAGAACATGCTCTCTGAAGTCCAGCAGAGAAAAGGGGAAAAGGGGGAAAGGGGGTGGGAGTGGGGTGGGACTCCGGCAACTCAACCTCAACCCAGCAGCGTGCTCTCTTTACCCTGAAGGGAAAAGTGCATTAAAACCCTGTTTATGCTGTATATAGATACACAACAAACCTTCACACAAACACACACGCAGGTATTTCACACAAGCATGAGCTAATCAGCAGCCAATTTCCCACACATGAACAGCTAGTTTGAGAACACCCACGAGTAACATTACGTAGTCGGTATCTTAGCACTGTTTAACTGTGAGAGCAGCTCAACTCAAACCACACTGGACTCAAGGAATAACCCATAAGGCCCCCCTGCGCTCGAGGGCGGAGGGGGGCCTCCATTTCTCGCTGTAATCAAGAGTAAAATGATATCTGCTGCCCCCACCCCTCCCTCTTTAGCTCCGTGGCCTCCTTTCTCCAGCACTTTTTTCTTCTCTGGGAGGCTGAATCCAGTTTGCTGTCCTCTCTCCGTGTTGCCATGGTACCGCCCCTGAAAACAGCAAGTCATGTCCGCCTCTTCAAACAGAAACGCTTAGTTTGGTGGAGGCTGTTGCTAACACTCCTGTCCAGTTTAATCTCTTTATAATTTAATACATATATAATATAATAACTAATCAGCTGCGTCTCTTATTCCTCAGTTACTACTGGCTACACATCAATTATAATCAGTTGCATTCTGTCCAAAAATATATTTATGTCATGGACAGAGTGGCACCCGAGCGACAGAATTGCACCAAATGGCTGGAAAAATGTTTCATACCTCCTTCTGCCATTTTTATGGAGGCTGTCATTTTAAAGGGAACCAGTTCTGATTGTGTAAGAGCCGGCTGCACATCAAATCTGTTGGTATTAACTGATTTGCGCCAAAAAAAATTGCTTAATTCATTACGTACACATGTAGTGATTTTTCTGCCATTTGTTTTCTGCCATGAGGTCAATCTGCCAGAAGGTGGCACTGTTGTAATGGTAGATATTCTAGTCTGCTTGTTGAATAACTTGCTTGGGTGTGTTTGCAGGTGGGTATCATGATTTGAATCATTAGAGCTTGTTTGTTTGACTAAACTGAGTAACTGTATTTGTGTTGGCTCTCTGCAATTTTTGAGTATGTGTGTGTGCGCATGGTGCAAACATGGAATGTGTGTGTGTTATAAATAGACTGAACACTAATGCTTTCAAAACCTGTTGCTTGAACACCTCAGGCCATGATGTTGTGTGTTTTATTTGATGTGCTGTGTCGAATGTCCGGCCTCACGCTAACCCCGCTGACTAACCACTGACTGTCCGGTTTTGCTCTGCTTGTTTGTGTCTCTGCATGGTCGCTGTGTGGCATGGCCGTGGCTGGCTGCAGGGTCCATACCTGGTGCACGGTGAGCAGAAGCGGGAAGGGCCTCTGACCGAGTGTGGTGGGAGCGGCACCCTGCATGACTATCAGACAGACCTGGGCGGGAAACCTCAGCAGCAGCAGCAGCAGCAGCAGCAGCAAACGTACATGCGCTCGTCTCGTGGTCAGCTACGGGGAGGGAGCGGGCGGGGCCTGTCACGGCAAGACACCTTCGACTCTGAGACCCAGGGCAGCCGGGACTCTGCCTACACCGAGGCCGGCGACTCCTGCATGGACATTGAGACTGACCCCTACGAAGAGCCTGAGCCCTACCGAGGGGGCGGGGGCAGCCGCCTCCACCTGGCGCAGCATCACGGCAGACAGGCCTCCTGGGAAGACGAAGGCGCCGAGCCGGACCAGGAAAACCTGAACCATCCTCCGGTGCCGAGCCAGACGCAGCCGCATGGACGCGCCAAGCTGAGGGAGCGGTACTGCCAGGACCCTGTGGACACGGGGGCCAACATGAGTCGCAACAAGAACCAGGACGACTGGGGGAGGGACGTCTACATCCGCTGAACATGCATCATACCGCAGAGGGAAGGAAGCGACTGGACTGAGGATGGGGGAGGGAGGGAGGGGAAAGGGTCTGGTTTTGGGGTTCAGAAGGAACTGAAGTGTGGGTCTGGGTCCATGCCAGTCAGGCTAACAAATGAATCTGTTTACATCCCAGTACAGTGTAAAGAAATACATCAACTGCCATCAACTTCTTCTTGCAATTCAATTTATTTATGTTTAGAAAGAATAATATTGGTCTGTTCTTTTTTTGTTTTGTTTCCTATGTTAATACTGCATGAATATCATGGATTTCTAAACTGACAGCACGAGGACAGTAATTGTTACGATTGTGAATCTATGATTGTGATCTGTTATGACTCAACCCCTCCTTCAGTTGTAGAGTGCGAAGGCTGGTTAGAGCTGTAGTCCGTCCACGTCTGTCCTCTGCAGTCTTAAACAGGGTCTAATGTCACCGTCCCCCATGTACAGTGTCAGGGTTTTCTCTTTACCTTAATCTCACTCAGTGCTGTTGGATTTCAGTAATTTCTCCCATGCTGAGATCCAAACGTTCCCCGAGTCTCTCACCTCCACTTTCTTATCACCCAGACCTTAAAAAAAACAAGCTGGTGGAGAAGTTGCCATGGTTTAACACAACAATTTATCGATGTTGCTACACTCGTGTCAGCCTGATAACAACAAAGAGTACACTCCAAAGACGTTTACTTCTTCCCTGACCTGGTTCAGCCACTGTATCCGACTGTACGCGTCTGACCCAGTCCTTTTCTGTTCATTTTGTTCTCTGTTTTCTTTTCTAACGTGGTGCAGATTCAAAGCAGCACTGCAGTTGTAGTTATTTGTGAATGAAGTGTCCCTGCCTTAGTCACTCCCACCTTAAAAAAAACACCCTTATTTTCAAGAAAACTCCAATCACAAGTGCCGGAATGTCTCGCCAAGCCATGTCCACCACTGCCACGGTGGGATGTCTTAACTCTTGTTACACTCGTTTTCATACCATATGTGTGTCTTCTCCGTGTCTCCCGGGCTACTCTGCACCGTCAGCCCGACGCTATCGCTCCAGCACATCTTGTTTTTTTTGTTGCACCTAGCTTCGTCGTCTGTTTTTATTTCAGGGCTAATGGTTATATTAAAAAAAAGTACGTGTGTGTGGTTAATCACTCCCAACTTCCACCCAAACAGCTAGCTTGTCTGATATTAAATACCACTCTCTTCTTACTCTTGATTTCTGACTGAATTAGTGTTGTTTTTTTCCTGTGGACATTTGCAAATTTTTCTTTTCTTTTCTTTTCTTTTGAATCTTCAGTTCTTGTGAGGTAGTGAGAGGAGTATCAAGTGGGGTGTGGCGGGTGGGAGGGGGTTATAGGATCAGCTTCGGTCTTTACTCAGTTATCTATAATGGAGAATCCATGAATGTCTTTGGTGGGCTGCTTATTGCCCGCCCGTCTTCAGTTGAATAAATAAATATTAAATAATGATCAGTAAATAATGTTATTGTTGCGTTATCGCAATTGTTAAAAATATGAAATAATGTATCATTGGTGCCTGACTGTAGCTACATTTTGCTTTTTCTGCCTTTCATTTTTAATCTGTGGATAAATTCGTATTTTAATTAAAAATTTAATCAGAAAATGCCATTGTGTCACTTAATTGATACGGTGAGGTGTGATCATCATCACGCAGACAGATCTCAGAGACTTTGTATTTGTACACACGGATATTCATTAGTGGTGTCTTTAATGTCTCTCAGGCAGGATTGGGGAGGTACAGATTACATGACTAACAGCTGAGTTACATAATAAAAAAGGTAACTGTAATCCATCAAAAAGACGTAATCAGATTACTGTTACATTTAGTAATAATGGGGATTAATAGCAGGATAGGCAACATTGTTCTGTTGTCTTATAGAAAAGATAAAAGTCATCTAATTGCTATTTCTTTTGTCTTTATTTGCATATAATCCAAAAGTAATCGAAAGCAAGTAAGTAAGTAATGTTACTTTAACATTGTAATATATTGGATTACACTACATTCCTTAACAGATAATTAGTTATTGTATTGGATTATTAAAGGAACCCTCCCAACCCTGCTCTCAGGACATATAAAGAGATTTTAAATGGTTCAGCAGAAGCTTTTTAATTCTTCTTCCTGGGCTCAAACCACATCCTCATTATCAAGTTAAGGATGATTATATAATTATGTTGCATCTAATATAACCCTGTCTAACCTGTCCGATCAAGGTACTCCAGTAATGTACCTGCACATTCCCAATGTACTCAGACCTTCGTCGCTTTACATTGAGCCTGACAGGAACTCAGAACTCATAAAAAGACCTGTCACAGATTGCAGCAGCAGCATGTGATCACACCTGCTGAGGGTTTCGGTCAAGGCACAGTTGAATCCAGGATGTGGGTTGTTGTTTTTTGTTTTTTTTATTTCTCAGTTATGCTTGTCATCTCATCTTTTACACCTCGCTTGTGCTCTGTAGTGGAGGAAATGGCACAAGGGAAGATGTGGTTTCCATCTGAGTGTTATTTAACAAGAGATCACTGTAATGTAAACTAACATTTGGTTTATGGTATCGGGTTCTAACAGTTCACTGCTGGTAGAAGTATTTATATGTTAAATGTAAGTATTAGTACCATAGTGTGAATTTACCTGTTTATCTTTTACTTAACAGGATACAAGTATCTATAAAATCAACTTAAAAGTATTAAAAATCATGCTTTATGGCTTTTTTCAAAGTGTTTAATTAAATATATTACATTAATGGATTATCATTACAGAAGCTTTAACATGTAAGCAACATATTACTGTAATAGCAAATCAAAGCACAGCTGACTTTCTACTTTCTACTACAGTTTTACTATAATTAATAATAATTTAAAGGCTGATTATATATCTTATAAATAAAATCCTAAATCTGTAAAGTACACAGGAACTGTGGGTGTTAAATAAATGTAGTGGGGTTGTAGTATTCCCATTGAAATGCTGTGGAGTAGAAGTATAAAGTAGCAAAATGGAAATACTAGGTATACTATAGGTTAAGTACAGTAAGTATAGTACTTTTCCTCACTTAAGCAAATACTCACATCTCACATTTACTTAAAAATATGTTGATTAATACATTTTGAGTTATAACTGAGTATTTTAAAGGGCAAAAATATGATCGTAAAACCTTAAAACTCCAGTAAGATTGGACATAACTTCAAAAAATAAAGTAATGGAAAAAGACTGAGACAGAAAAGAGATGTTTTGATCTTTGTTCATTACAGTTTACATCCAGAACGCATCAAGTTTTGATATATAAAGTGAAAATGAAATGACAAAAACAAAAACATTATATTTTGGGGAAGATGTTAGACAGTTAATAACCTTAAATGACTGTAACACCTGTTAGTTGTACGAGTAATAACACTGAACACCCGGAAAAAAAGGCCCCAACAGAGAGAGTCAAATATGTGAACAACTGAGTCAGCAAACCACTGAGGATTCACAGGGAATGAATATATTATGAGGTCCTTAATATGCATACAAGTCATTATTCTTGTTGTTATTATTATTATTAATAATAAAAAACAGTTTTTAGAATCACTTGGGAAATACCTGAACAGAGTCTCCAGTGGAAACTTCAGGGGATTCCTGGTAACCAGGTTTTACTTTCTGTTGGCTCATAATAAAGTTCTGGTGATACAGAAGGAGGAAGGAGCACGGTTTTACTTCCCTTTCCTTTTATGGAGCGGACATGTGCGTCATTCTGTCCACTCCTTCCGTCGATGTGACATAAAGCGACGCCTGTGTTGTATGTTGCCTTCAGGTGCTCCTGATTAAAGTCCGACGTCTCTGTGATTGTCTCGCTTTATTGGATGCACTCAGTGAACCTCATCAGAAACAGAGTCAGAAATGTGTTTGTTACAGTTGTTTTACTCACACAGTGTTAAAGGAATAGAAATAATACTTATATTACAATATTTAGCACAATTTATAGAATATAAATGTACGTATAGGTATATAAAATGGAAATAGAAATATAATAAGAGCCTCATAGCAGGTGGGTTGTTTTTGTTTGTTTGGATCTGATAGACTGTACTTTTAGGGATATTGTTAAAAAAAAACTAATTAAAAACCCATTAAAGACAACCCAATTCATACTGTGAGTATATAAACAACAGGTAGGGTATCACTGAAGAGCATTAAAACACATTTTTGTATTTCTCAACTGATCATAATTGACACATTTTAGTCTTTTACTGATTTAAATAAACCTTTATCAGCATAAAAATAGGGTTGTTGTGGCCAGTTCATTTGTTTTTAATGAGTTTGTTTAGAGTTTCAGTTCTACATTTGGGACTCCATAGGCTACCTTTAAACAACATAACAAAACTATTAAGCACTTTTACCATACATTATTGATACAGCATTTAATCCCATTTGCTAAATATGAAATATTGCAACATATAAGTCGCCAAACTGTGGTAAATACTTCATTTATATGACTTTTATTGAGTAAGGCTCCTTTTGGTCAATAATCTGTATTGCAGTTGTGTCTGATCCCATTTATATCTATTAGATTACGCTCATTGATACAGTCTACATCAAACTACATCCTCTAAAAATGTCCCCACGAAGGGAGGATATATTGTGTTTACTATGTTAATGGTCCCCCCACAGGAGCCTAGATTTCCTACACGCAATTGAACGCACCATTACTATACCCTCTGCCAGTGATTCACTCGTCTGAAAAAAAAAAAACACTTTCTTTCTAAGAAGCGCCACCCACTGAGTTAGACACTGATATCAGATGGAAGAGCTGAGTTCGCCCGACAGATACTGAAGTTTTGTTCCAGCGGGAGCTTTTTTAAATTGAATTGTTGGACATTTTATTATTGACATGGGCTTTCTTCTCACCAAGATGATGGCTGTGTTCGGTGACAGAGGTAAGATGTTATCAGTGATTTCAAACAGTTTTTATAATCAAAGTTTCATAATTAATGTTGTTTGTCAGCTGCCATTCAATCACATATATGTTATAATATAAAGTCTCACTCACCAACCTTTAATATTCTTTATTTATCACTTTACATATCAACGTGCTTTTATTTTGACAGTAAATCTGTCAACCTAAGCTTTCTCTGACAGACACTGTGTGTACCTGACACTGTTGCACTGGTTGTTATTGCTCTGCAGTGATGTAATAACCACACTGTGGACAGGGAATGTAATTCTGCTCAGGACATCACAGTCCTGTACCTGTCTTTATCTTATCTGTGTGTGTGTGTGTGTGTGTGTGTGTGTGTACATTGTCTTGCAATGCATTCAAACTACTTGTGCAACTCCAGATTACAGTGTGTTCAAATGATGATGCCTACAAAATCCAGTTTGCCCTGTGCAGGATAAATGTTATTTATTTTTATTTAATGTAATTTATTTGTATTATCCTACAGAGCACAAAGTCATTATTGTGGGTTTGGACAATGCTGGAAAGACAACCATCCTCTATCAGTTGTAAGTGACTTTTCTGGAAGCTACAATTGTGTCATTATAAAACTATAAAATCTGTATTTTAAATGTTTGTTTTCCAACTTAAAACTTGCCCAGTTTGACAAAAGAAGCCGTCCACACATCTCCAACCATCGGCAGCAACGTTGAGCAGATCACCGTCCGCAACACACACTTCTTGGTTTGGGATATCGGAGGACAGGAGAGCCTTCGAGCCAGCTGGTACTCGTACTACTGCAACACAGAGGTACGGATCACTGCCTATAGTCTTCAGCTCCTCACTGAAACACATCAGAAACATGACTGCTGATGCTTTTATCTGAAGTACCCAGTCTGCACATTTGAGTTTCAGTTTAGTTTAAGTTAAGTTAAGTTTCTTGGTGTTGTGTTCCCCCCAAAAAAACACCACAAAATCCTGCTTCCTCACATTGATCATAGTAAATGTGATGCATAAATGATGGTTGATGGTAGTCGTGCAATTTGATATTGAAGAAGACAGAAACAGAAACAGAATGTGCACATTAACCCACATTGGCTTCTTATCATGCAACCATGCTCTCTGTAATTATAAAGCTACTTATCAGTGTTGCATAATCATTTATATTACTTATATATCTGTCTGTATGTCCCCCTCTTATCATAACAGCAGTGACTGATAACCTGGGCTCTGATAATCTGCTAATAACTGTTTTATTAATGTGGCTCTTTCAGATTGTCATTCTGGTTGTGGACAGCACCGACCGTGAACGTCTCACTCTGACCAAAGAAGAGCTGCACCGAATGCTCTTACATGAGGTACTAATGCAGTTACTACTTACTGGGAGATGTGTGTTATAGTTTAAGAGTTATAGCCCCTATGATCCAGACTTTACTTTTTATTTTACCACAAATCACTCGACTTTAGATCAGATTACTGCAGGATTTGGTTTTATGTCTTAAATCAGATTATCAGAGTCAAAATAGAATCAGCTAATTTAGTTTGAAAGCGGCCTTTGACGTTAAACCCTTTTGTTGTTCAGCCCAAGTCTGCTATTTACGCTTTAGACGTCTGAGATACACCCAGAGTGAGGAACTGCGGCAGGTTTTTTTCATAAACCCATGACACAACGTGATGAGGAAGTTTCAGCTTAGTCTGTGTGAGTCAACATGTTGACATGTGTCTAAATATCCCGCTGAGGTTGCTTGTTCTCAAAAGCTGACGTGAAGGATATTTACATGGGGTTTCCAATGGAAAATTTTGTCAGTTCTATAAATGTGAACTAATATCGAGCCTTAATCTGTGACCCATCTTCTCTCGTTTTTGGATTTAGGACCTTCAGAACGCAGCTGTTCTCATTCTGGCCAACAAACAAGACATGAAGGGCTCGATGACGGCGGCAGAGATCTCCCAGTGCCTCACGCTCGACTCCATCACAACACACTCCTGGCATGTCCAAGCCTGCTGCGCCCTGACAGGAGAGGGGTGAGTCTAACACACCTCACACACACTCACTCTCTCTTTCTTTAGTGTGAATGAGTCAACTCTTTAAAGCTATTTTTTTATAGACATCAACTTCTGCTGGAATAACCTCCTCCCCTCTTTCCTTTCTCTCTCTCCCAGCCTACCTGCCAGTCTGGACTGGATGAAGTCACGGGTTGTTGCAAACTAGAGCACGCTCCAAAGCGGGTCAAACTTCCTCAATCTGAGCCAACCCTGCGAAGGCCACGGTGTCAGGGTTTTTACAGTGTGGTTTTTTTTTTTTGGGCAAAGTCCTGTGAACATGGCGCCTGCCTGAGATAGAGCCTGTCTCTGCCACACCTACAGTATGTCTTACCCAGCTGTGTGAGAGTCTGTACCAGCCTCAGGGTGGATGAGCCACAGAGGAACCTGGATGACTTTACAGTCGGTGTAACGCTCTCCTCCCCAGCCAAATCTCAGTAAATTCAGATTCCAGGTGTTGATTTTTTGTACTTTTCTAAAACCCGCTTTGTGGTTTTGATTGTACTGCAATAATAATCTGGTTTACTGGGAACGTTTACTGCACTGTTAGGAGATGTTTTAGTGAGGTGGACCTACTTTGTTTATAAAAGATATCCTCACCTGACCAGTAATATCACATTCCACGCTGGTCTCCATTTCATATCACTGAGGTTAAACAAGTTGCATTTTTCCTTAGAACTGAAGAACGTGTGCCATAGATGTTACAGCCTTCACTTAAATAATACAACATCTTAAAAACATGATCACAGATTGAACACTAAAGCATATTTTCTTTTACAGATAAAGAGTTTTCTCACATTTTAATTTGAGTTGGGCTTTAATTTCAATTTAGTGTGACAATCATGATCTCATTATGACCTTTGATTGGCGATTCTCGTCACCAATTACTTTCCATCTTGAGTTACCTCGCTGGTTGCAAAACACCTTTTAGTAGCTGCCTTATATCGATTACACAATAACTGGGAAGAAACTGTAAGCACATGCTGTAGCTCCTGTGGCCTCCCTCCCAGCTGTTGATGTATTATGCCTCTGAACATCTGCACACTTTTGTTCGACCTAAAGATGTTTATTTCTTTTAAACAAAGCTCTTCAAGTATTTACTGTATATTACAGGAATATGAAAAAGGAGCAAGCTGTTAAGTATTATGAGTCATATTTTAAAGTATGTATTGTATTGTGTAAAGTTTTTGAATAAATATTATTATTGCAAATATGCGCTGGGTGTGTTTTATATCCTGCAGCTTTAATATTCTTTGTTCCAACCAACAATACGCAGCACACTATTTAAGGATAGTGGAGTACTGCACCTACACTCTCATTGCCGTCAGTGAGAAGTATTGATGCAACTGTCTTGTATGTGTGTTTTAAAAGAAAAACGTATGTATTTTTTAAATTATAATCCTGCTTTTTTCTGTAACTATAATGAATCACAGTTACAGTTGCTCCCCAATCCTGGCAGTATATCTGCCTGTCTTCATGCAGACGTCTGGAGTAAAAATAACTTTATAGTAGCAATTAACTACGTTTTATGGCTCTTGAGATCTACTTTCTATCGCAGTAAGATTGATTTCATAGGAGGTAAAAATGATCACTTCAGGGGGCATCCGGATTTGAACCNNTTTCTCTTTCCAATGTAGGGGGCACCCAGATTTGAACTGGGGACCTCTTGATCTGCAGTCAAATGCTCTACCACTGAGCTATACCCCCTCGCGTTGTCGACGGTCGTGAAACTATTATTTAATCATAATGTAATATTTCGTTCGGGACATTTGTATTGATAATATACAGCATTGCGTAGCTACTTAATAGAGCACGAATACATTTGTTTTTTGTTCGACATGTGTTGGTATTTAACTGTTGTTTAATTATTTTGACCACCAGGCGGAGGAATGATCCCACATTTGTGTCCATGTACTGTTACTGTAACTAACAGCAGACAGTCTCCCCCTAGCGACGGGAAAACAAAAACTACATCCGTTTTATGATGTGACAAAACAAAAGGTTTAATTAAAAAACGACTTGTTTAGGGAAAGATAAGGGTTCAGTAAGTGTTTAGTTAAGGTTAGGGGTTAAAGTAGCTACTTCCTTGAGGTTAGGGCAGTTGTTTCCAAACCTTTCCTTCCTGATTAAGTTTCATTTCATTGTTGTAAACATAATCATTTTAAAATTAGGTTGTACTTTTTTATACAGTTGAACTGTAAACGTTTAGGTTAGTTTATATTTACAGTTTTGAAGGAATCAGTTTATTATTATCATTATACAACACAAGGTTGTAGAACAAAATGTTACACACATAAAATGTGTAATTTGGAGTGATAGAAACTGGACATTCAACAATTTCCCCATTAGTTTCAGCTTTTTCATCTATTTTTAAGGGTTGAGGCTAACTATTTCAAGTTTATTCATTACTTAAAGCGATCTACAGTATTATATCCACTTAAGGCTTTTTAAAAATACCTCCAGCTAAAGATTTCAACCATTATCTATTACTTTTAGCTATCTATTTAGGCATTACTATTAGAAGTCATGGATAAATAGTTGAAATACAGTAAAATTAGCTCTCCATCAACCATTTATTCACTTCTCTGCTTGTTCTGTAATGACAATATTTCTAAGTGGGCCTTCCCCTTGGTATCTAACTTTGAAAGTCATGTAATAATAACTTATTTTATACAGCACTTACCTAAACAAGGTAACAAAGTGTTTGGAGTGTGTCCACTACAACTACTACCCCTGGTTGGGAATCAGTGGAATAAATAAACCAATCTGTAGGTTACCGACTAGCCATTTTGACACAAAATAATAGGTAATAAAGTAACTTTTCATTTAAGTGTATTTAGAAAACATGTTATCTCTTAATCATGTTGCATCCACAATGAAGCTTCAGAGACTAATTTTTTCTAAATATTCAGATGTTTTGCAATTGACAACCGGTGTGTTTTTCATATTATTGAATTTAATGTGCATATCATCAAATTGATAGAGCCATACTCCTTTTCAATGACAATACGGGAATCTTAAAAAGTGTTTCGACACATAACAGGGGGAGATACACGGCAAGACTACAAGCTAAACATATTTATTATAGCAACATTATATACAGAGAGCTGGAACATGAGTAAAGATCACACTGTTGCTGTATCGGTTGTGACAATACTCTGGCATAAGTAAATTTAACTAAGCCACGGCTATATGAACTGCAGTATGAATATAGTAAATGTGAATAAATGAGGTCTGAGAGCAAAAGATATGCAGCACAATATGATAGATGAGTCACTCCTGCTGCTCCCAGGCAGGTTAATCAAGTTTACATGTTCCAGCTGAGGAGATGTCCCTTCTGGATGTTTACACTAAAGCCTGGCCTTTTTGGACTTTCAAATCATTTTATGTAACCTTTTCCAAGAACTTGAGATGAATGAATGTATGTTATCGCAAGCTTTTCTCCCCTTTATGCATTAATTTCTGTCTAAATTCCCAGAGGGTGTTCTGAGGGTTGTTTTCAGTTTGACAGTGGAGCCCATCTAGAGAACATAAACATGTCTGATGAAATCCTATCTCCCAGACACATTAATGATGTGTTCTGATTGATACTGATACCAACAGATCACACGGACCAACTGGAATGTGAGATTGAGAAGTTTTGCTCATTAAAAAAAATCTCTTTTTTAAGCAAATTCAGTGAAAAGGATGTTAGCTTAAGCCTATATGAGGCTTCCAGAGCCTTTATATTGGCATATTTACTTATGTTACTATCCCTCTGATGCAGCTCAGCAAAAAAATATAATTTGTAAGATTACCAATTAATTTCCTACTCAGATTGTTGAGGCCTCATATTAGCTTCAACTGAACTTCAGACGTTTTACACAGGACGAGGACAGTGGAGTCCTTCAATCACATGGTATGGATAGGAATAATGCACATATGGGAATGTCAATGGGAAAAAAACTTCTATCTTTATTATTTCTGTTCTTGTTTTTTCATTTTATATACTTCTAACTGTCACTATTCACATTATTTTCTAACTAATATGCTTCTCTGTATCCCTCTGGCTTCCTGTATTTACGCTCATCTTTAACTTTCAGACAACAGGGAGGCATTAAATGTGTGAAAATGAGACTTATTCCAACTTCTGTGTGTTTATTTGCTTGTTTAAAGTCAGCATGAGCTCTCTGTGTGAAAATCCACACTGTACGCTGTGTTTATGGTGTGCATTATAGGACAGGGTACTGATTGCCTTTCCAGCTGTGAGTCCAATAAACGCTCAGCTGCCATTTTCTTTGCCAAGGATTTTGTGTTTGCTCTCGTAGCAGATAGGAAAAAAATGATGAAAGTGGTGGCTATGAGAGGTGGTGGAGTCAGCCACAGTGCTCGTTAAAAACCTCGCTTTTTGTCACTTTTACATGCCATAAAAACAAAAAACAAGGCTTTTTTTACAAAACCGCTGGAAATTAATCTGCAACAAAGAGACTTTTTCTGTTCCATGTGGCCCACAAAAGGATGTTGTTGTTGGAATAGAGACACACTGTTTTGAGGAGTCATAAACAAGACTTCCCGTGGAATGTGGAATATCATAACTTGCACAGATTCCAGGCCTGGCATTGTATGCATCATGATCACCATGTCTAATCTCAGTTGTCAGATTTTTCACTGTCCCTGCAGCTGGTTTGGACAGAGGGAGGCGCCATACACTACAGTACGGCGGATGGTCCTATTTATACTTTTAGCTCTCAGAATGATGGGAGAGATGTTAGCTGTGATCCAAAAGGGAAACTACACTGGAGGCATAATTTTAGAAAATGGACTGATGATAAGTCAGTGTGCAGGTCTTTTTAATGTGTGCAGGTCTTTTTAAAGTGTGCTCCAAAGCCTCATCAGCTGATCCTTGTGTCTTTTGTGATCACCATGGCAACGGACGAACAGGCAATGAGGAAGAGAGAAAGGGTGTAGTTAGAAACAGGGTGGTGTGTGTGTGTGTGTGTGTGTGTGTGTGTGTGTTGCAGGGAGCTTGAGATTCAGAGAAAGAGTGACGAGTGGAAGTGGATCAGACAAAACAGTTCTTGCAAGAGAAGAGAGAGGAGGAAGAAAAGAGGCTGAGGAAGCTGTGGTTCTTTTTGTCATTTTAACTTTTTTTGTTTTTTTTGTTTTTTTTTGTCTTTTGCTGCCAACATGTGTTTCAGCTTGGTGATGCTGTTCCTCTGTCTCTCCAAACAGAGCGGCAGAGTTTGGGTTCAACAGCAAACAGGTGAGTTTGTTAATATTTCCATCTGTGCTCTCAGCCTCCCGTCTGGTCTTTAAGTCACACGGATGCTTTAAGTTCACAGGTTTCTAAAAAAAAATCTTTGGCTTAATTGGTTTGTGCAACTGAACTCTGGATGCAACATATTTTCAGTCACAGCCATTTGTTCTTGAGTCAAAGGATATTCTTATTAATTAATCTATATATATATATATTATTGTATATTCACTTTGTGTGTGCTCCTGTTTCTATTTTAACTCACAATAAACCACAAAATTTCAGTAGGACTCTTTATGGTGCGGCAAATGGGCATGCCATGCCCTTTTCAATTTTACGCACAACAAGTGAATGACCTAGTTTACAATAAAGTGTACAATAAAAATACCCTCGTCCACAAACATGCCAGTGAGTCTAAACAACAACCCACAAACAGCCTGTCTCAGGTTTAAAATTAGATATAGACTTTGTTTTTCTTCTTGCCTCCCTGCTAGACAGAAAATTGTAGGAGGCGTTTGAGGAGAGTGGACATGGATTTGTGATATGTTTTTTAAGTGATATGCAGGAGGTGTGTTAGGGACATTCATAATAACTTATTTCTAGATCTGAGGAGTTTTACTGCTCACTCTCTACAAACTCCTCTCCAGCCGCCACACTCAACTTATCAGCTGTCTACAGAGACTCAATATTAAATTGAATATTTGTCTTTTTTTTCATTCTAGTACTATTTAGGAGAGTTCTTCTGCACTGGGGAATATGTTGCAGATAAAACAACATCACAGATGAGGCAGTAGGTGCTCAGATTTGTGCTTGAGACAAAAGGGGTCAGCTGTCAGTATTAACCCAGCTTATCCTCTCTTCCTGTGCCTAATTTGCTCTTATCTGCCTTGTCACTCTACATTAAATACTACTCTGTTTTTAAAAAACGATTTTGGTCCTGAGAGAGCCATCCACACCATCTGAACGAGACTGTATAAACACAGAGCCCCGAGCTGAAAATGAATTGTGTACCCGGCAATGACCTCACCGTTTGGCCTCTTGTCTCCCGTCCTGCTGAGAAGTTTTCTTAACAAATGGCCTGAAGCTGAGCCAGACATGTTGGAGCGAAGCATGGATTGGAAGAATGAGAAGCAAAGCGAAGAAGATTGTTTTGTAAGATTGAATCAAAGATAGGTTGTTATTGTCTGTGGATCCCAGCTCGACTCGTATTTTCTAAAAGTCATGTGCAATTTGACTTGTGATAGCAAAGCATGCTTGTGCTATAGGAAAAATAAAAGAGCCATAGCAAAAACTGTTGTCTGCCAACAGCTGAGCAACTTGTTCTTTGAATTATGTTGTAATTTGGAACAGCGTTTGTATGGGAAATCGTTTTGGCTTGAACTCTGTCTACTTCATTGAAATTCTCTTATCAAACAATGAAAAGTTAAGCAAATAAGGTTTTTACCTCTTCTGTGAAAAGATTTGTTTTCACCATAACAGAAAAAAATGAGGCAATCAGTGCACTCTCTTAACAAGACTTGACCAAAATTGGAAAGTCTTAATAGTTTTATTGTGAAATGTAACTTTGTTGCAGCCTCTTAGGGATGTTATAAATCAAATTTGTCATTTCAAACTGTGTGTTATTTATTAAAGGAGGCGCCTCTCAAAGCATTACTACCACAGTTATTGTTGCTGTATGTCAGCAGCTCACTTACTGGCCAAAGTACATACAAAGACATGTACCACCTTATTAGCTTTTCAGCTATTTAATAAAGAAGGTTGAGGAGTTCAGCTAAACAATATGTCTTTACTTTAAATCTCCAAGACCAGAAGTGGCCTGATTGTCTGGATGAAACTATTTTTCAAGGGGAATGTAACTAAAGAATTGCACCATCTGCGATTCAACCACACGCCTTGAAATGAACTATACATGTTTATTGTGGGTGATGTTGAGGAATCCATGCCAGCTCCTCCAGCCTCTGCTCAGGAAGGGCGTGTTCTCTCAGACCGCTCCGAGCTGACCGCTCACAGAAAAAGGCAGCTAAATGTCGTGGTTTGGTAGCTTCTAAAAGAGTGGGCAGAGGTCAGGTCTCTGTACAAAACATCTGCCCTTTCATTGCAGATATTTGAGAAAATATAAGTGGTTCCTGGTTTACCTTACCAGGTCTTTCACATATACTTTGCCTCAAAATGTTTGAGAGCATTTACACCCTGAGACAAACGTACTGAATCTGGGTTCTTGACCAACCGCTGCTTTAACAAACCACCAATTTTCTCACTTTCTGACTCATCAGTAACATTTCTAGACTGGCACAGGCTGCTGGGCTCAGTGAGAAAATCCATAATCTATTCTCAGGCATTAGCCGAGGCAGCTCCCTGTTCTTTTCCTAAAAGATGAGCAACGCGTACAAAACAAATGAAGGCCCATCTTGATACTGGTTCACCACTTAGGTATTCTGTTGCAATCCTCTCCCGCTGGATTTGTTTGGAGGGGGGGTATTTAATCATATACACAGGAACTTATAAAAGAAAATGTGCAGTGTGGACCATATGCAGACTGTTAGCTGTACGCTTAGATATGTGTTTGAAAACCTTAAACTTCTAAATATCAAATCACCATTTAAATCAGTCAAAAGTAGAAGTTAAAGTTAAAAGTTTATCTCAATTCTAAAGACTACAAATAGGTGGAAATGGTGGGGAAACTAATTTTTCATGTAATCATAAGGCCATTATTGACTTTAAGGTATCAATATGTATGTGTATAGAAGCAACCAAATGTTCAATTTTACAACAAGATTAGTGTTGTTCATGTTTCTACCCTGAAAATCAATTAAGAATTTACTATCAAGAAAATCAGAATGATGAGTTTTCACACACAATAAAACCCCTAGTATTTTTTAAACTGGTATCATTTTCTGTATTTATTCTTAATGCAATACGTTATGAATTGTAATAAGATCTCAGAATATGTGCAATCCAGTGAATAATTCATATGGAAATAGATAAGTGGAGAGGGGAGTTTTGGTCAGTTTCTCCTGGACAGCCGAGACAATACGACTCCCATCTCACTGTTCTGATAATCTGCCAGCGATTTCAATACTCTACTGGAGCGATGACCTGAGACAGACATTATAAGCCTCAACTTCATATTGAGCGTCTGCACCCCTCCCTGCTTTTATAAACCAGAATAATGTTTATCTGCTGCACTGCAGACCTCAACAACTGCGAACACCATTCCTCCTCTTACCTCATAAGATGCCATAACAGGGCGGATCCGGTGCTCAGCAATCACCACATCTAGGTTTTAACATACGAGCTGCCACGAATGCATTGACGCACCACTTAATTGAATCAAAGAGGCGGAGAGAGAAACACTCTGATGAACAAATACAATAAGCTCCCCATGAGGTCAAGACATTTGGGCTGTCACTTCAGAAACTTGTGAAGTGACGCAGTGTAGTTTTGATGGCTGTGGAAGACATCACAGTGTTATAATTGTGTGAATGTGTGAGTGGTGTTTTAGTTAAAGTCCCACACAGTCTGAACTCTGGGGGTTTGGCACAGGACAAGGCTGAGGGACCAAAACAGGCCTGCGTTTTCCCTCCCACACTGGAGACAGAAATGCAGGCATCCAAACCAATGTCAACTTTCACTGGCATAAGAGGAGCTGTACTGGGTACTGGCACCCACAAGAACTTGTTTAGAAGCTAAATATGTCAGATAAATATGTATTTCTTAGGTTAAATGCTTTATTGAGCTGTGGCTCCCTGGTTAAACTACTTTCTGTTCAACAATGAACATCTGCAAAACTGCAAAGAAGAAGGATTAAGTTCTAGTCTGTTACTTTTCTCATTAACATGTGCTAGTAAACGTGGGAGAGGGAGTGGGAGGTCTGTCTGCAAGCTCTCTGTTGACTTTTTGAGGCTTGAAAACATGTTTTCATTTTATTGAACGTAAACGTCGTTACCCTCTCAGTCTGAGACGTTTTATTTTTTTTTTTTCAGCACTCAAGTCCAGTCAAGTTAGAAATCTGTGCTGGCAGAGTTTTCAGGTATTTCACAAGCCAACTCTTTCCAAATTTAAAAAACCTGGTGGTGTTTCATGATGTACAGCCACAACACTAATGCGCTGCATGGGAGTTGGGATGTCATTACAGTTGATCTGAATCAGGTGTGTGAGGATAGAGAGCTGGACGCAGGTGGCCCCAGTAGCACCGATCAAAGTGTGTCGTTTGGTTTCATGTAAAATGCTTCTAAAACTTGTGAAGAAGTAAAACTATAGGATCTCAATGTGAACTGGAGGCTGGATTGCACTTTGTACTGAGGCATAAAGTTAAGACACGTTTACCAGCAGTGGTGTATTGCTTATTTTTTAAAGTCTGCATTACTGACTGAAGTATTTTTAGTAAATATTTAAGATAGCCTTTTTAACTTTTTTAGTTTTCCATCCGCTGTAATTTTTTAAAACATTTCTCCACACTTTGTGGGCTTTTTTATCAAATACTTCCTTGAACAATGTGTTAACGCACAACTGGGACACTTTAACTTTATTTATTAAAGAAACCTTTTAAAATTGCACTTAACATTTAGATCTGTAAATTTTTATTTTAATCTCTTCATTATATAGGCACCTTTCATGGATTTTAGTTCGTTCACCTGATGAGCCTTTTATTACTTGAAGTTAACAACCAAACAACAAAAAAAGCAGAACTTCATTCAACTCGTGTGAGATTTCCACTTAATCCCATTTTCTTCTTTTATTTAGTTGTTAAAGTAACTTTTAAAAGACAGAATACTTACTCACAGTTGAGGAAAACAACAACTGTTGATTGAAGGCGGGGCGGTGCTAATGCTAACGCCAAAGCTAATGCCTAATCTAATGAGAAATCTAATGTTAATGCTAATGCTAACGCCAAGCTAATCTAAACGCCCAAAAGCCAACTGTCGTTTTAGCCTATCGTTAGCGTGATGATTTGGGGAGCGCCCAGCGAACCCAAAGACGGTGTAAAAGTGAAACGTAACAAGTTGTTTGAGCGGTTAGGTTTCCCAACCGACCACGGAGGATCCGGTAGAGTCACCCTGCTCAGGTTTTCTGCTCAGTTGCTTTAAAGTGAAAGAGACCCCGACATGAAAAACACCGGAGCAGCAGAGACGAACTCTTCCGCGGCAGCGAGCTGACCGCGGCCGGAAGGTTCACGGTGTTTTGTCCTGACGGGGAACTGAACACGGCGGAGTGATTCTCTTGGCTTTCTTTTTTTGGTTTCTCGCTTCCGTAAACAGCCCTCCCAACGCCCATCCCTACAACACCTCCTCTGGTAGTTCGCCTGAAAGCCAGAGAAATGAAACAGCAAACGTATCCGGTACAGGAGGCCGCCCTGACACCCGTTAGATGCAGACACCCCCAAGTTAGGGCCCGCCCGCTTCCGGGGGTATTTATACAACGCTGCGGCGTGACGTCACCGCGAATGCAGTAGCAGACGGACGGCAACCCGCCATCAATCACCGGTCAAGAGCCCCCTAAAGCATGGTTCCCCCCTTTTTGAGTAAACTGATGACCCAGTGACATATTTATTATTCTTTAAAAGATACTGATATTTAATGCTTTAAATAATTACCAGAACAACCTGAATAATTTTGTACATAAACGCAATATTTAGCACAATAATCAGAATCAGAATCAGAAATTTTGTTTATTGCCAGTAGGTTTTTAACGCCTATGAGGAATGTGACCTGGGATGCATTGGTGCTAAAATATACATAACACACTTGACAAATAATATCAGATTATTCAGAATCAACCACAAAAAATCCAAGACCCAGAAAATAATGTACTTTCAAAATATAAATAAGATAAGTATAAAGAAAGATAAGAGAAGAAACTGTGCAGAAGACGGGGGGGTGCATTAATGTAATGCATACTTTATATAGGTGTATAAATCGCGCCAAGGGATGGGCTTCTGCGGCCATGCGGATTTTGTGTAAAAGACATTTGGAAAGAATTTTGAGACAGTTATTCTCCTGGAATACTCCTGTACATCTTTGTTTGTTTTTTTACAATCATTTCTACCCATGAGTGTAACTGACGACCCCCTACCTTAAGTGACACATTTTATAGAGTATTCATACACATTCAAAACTGTATACTATGAAGCTGAACAAGTGATAGAATAGTGAACTCATAACTGCCAGAAGTTTGTGTAAAACAAGTATTGGATATAGATATTGACAATTGTCGTCTGTTACTTATATTTTAATCATTTTTAACCAATCATGCAGACTTATTCAGCTTATTTAAGTGTGGTCTCTTGTCCCTGGTGCGTTGGCATGGGTTTTATTAAACAATTTACATTACATTTACTTTCTCACGAGAAGTGAACCAAATGTCTGCAATATTTGGCCCTACTTTGTATATTTTCGTTTAGTTTTCTTACACGCATTAACATCAGTAAGGCCTCCATGAAGCTTTCACGACCCCCTGGCTGGGAACCACTATCCTTGAGTTTTATCTGGCAAAATTCCCCCTTATAAATGTATGTTATGATGCTACCTTGGCAACCTGGAAATAAACATTAAACAGGCTGCCAGAAATTTGGGAGTCATGTCAAACTGAGGTCTGAATGTTCATTATTGGCTGCAGTATCTCCAAAATAAGGTCACTTCAATTTATGCATGCCTTTCTGTTAATCTGTCAATGGATAGTTCTTGCCATGTGTCTATCATACATTTGTGATTCATTACAAAGTCTTCACAGTTTTTTAAGCGTAACACATAATCTCTTTTATTAACTATCTTGTGGAAATAGAGGAAGATTGATTGATTGGACCTTTTACTACACAACAGTAAACTCTGGACACTAAAAGCAAACTTGTTTTTGCCTTCGTTTCACAGAACAGAGCAGATTTATTTTGTGGAAGCCAAATATGTTTTTGAATTATGCATAATTTATTAATTGTGTATTCTTTGATCATTATATTTTACACAAGACAACACTGCAAGTGGTATGCACATAAAAAGAAAAGCACACATCAGCATACTTAGAATCCCATGAAACAACAAGGAATTTTAATAATTATTTAATAGATTAATTATTTATCAATCAGCTGAATTAAACTCACGACCAGTTCCTT